ACGCTAGGAGAACAGGTCTCTGTTTTTACACACACAGCGGTGTCAATTCGGTAACAGGACCCTTGCGACAAACACAACAGATAATTTTATAGCACTTGCAGGATAAATGACCGCATTTTGTCATATAGCGTTTGATGCCATCACACGATTTACATCTCATCTCGCATTCATTTTCGAGATTAACCGCATCGCCCGATATATTTGTGATAATCGGTTTATACGTGTATTTCTCGTTACATCCGGGACACTGTACAGCCTTCACACCACCTCTTCTTTCATTAGTGAGCCTACGAATGGACTGAATACAGTTGATACAAAAAACATGACCGCATTCTAAGTAATGCGTTGACAAACTAATAAAACACACAGTGCAGGTGTATCTGCAACGTGTTTCTGACAACATAATACCGTACAACTGCTCACGGGGCTCCGTAGCAAGCCTGGACGATAAAACAATGGTATCATCTTCGATTTCCATTATACTTTTTGAACCTAGATATTCAGAGGTCTCCCGCATCATAAATTGTGAACTAAAATAAGCAGAGGTTCCTTGTAACTCTTCGTTGTTGTTTACAATTATAACATCCTGATCTACAATTATAACCTCCTCATTTTCATCGTTGGTTGCTGTTGAAGAAGAAGAACCCTCGCCGGTGTCATGAGACGGCGTGTGTTTGAGATCGAATCGTAAACCTTCTGTACGAAAACGTCCATCGCTGTTGATCACATCAAGCAACGTACTTTTACTGTCGGTGTAATACAACAACGAGGTACACTCGTCTCTCTCACCTGCCCGCGATACATGGTACGGTCTTTGTCTCATGGCGTTGTATTTAGTTACAATCTTTCTCTTTTTGAACGTGTGATACAACACAGGGTTGGTTTGCAATGAGTCGCGCACGGGCATCTCATCTTCGACGCTGTTCGCTCGTAGAACACTCACAAACAGTTCCTCTAAAGCCAAGCAAGGAGCCGTGGCCGACAGCATCACGTTGTTGTTGGTCCACAGTGTCGTACATTGTATGTGATAGCCTCGCATGAGCTCGGCGATGGTCTGCGGTTTTGTACAACGAACGTGTGTCAAATGATCACAGCCGGATGGATCTCGTGTCAACACAGCAATCTCGTGAGGAGTCTGTGGAATACAAAAAAAAACAATAACAAAATCAACAACATTATTTATAACACCAATCGTGTTAGACATCACATTTTTATCGTCACTTACGTGTTTGCTTTGTAGTTGTACTGAAGTTTCCACATCTCCGATCATAGCGTCGTTGAGAT